GACATGCCAATAGAAACTATCTCATCTCATCAACTCATCGTTGTCTCGTGGTATTTTCCATGAATCATGAATGCAGAGATAACCTATGAATCTATGATGATAATGATTTTAAAACTTTGTGGCAAGATTACTTCATAAGAAAGTGAAGGGTGCAACAAGAAGAGCATCTAACTCAAAACCTTGCCAGTATTCTTTATTTTTGCTTGAATTTATAATGTTATACGTTTAAACACTTAATTGGGACTATAAATTTGATGGCATCAGCCTCAATTCGTTGGGATTGGGGATTTGGGGTATGATGATGAGAAACAAGTTAGGAGTCACAAGACTCGCAACCATAGAGTGCAGAGAGATGCTAAACCCACTGAGACATGAATAATGCTCCATAATGGATGAGTAAAGATGGTAGAAATTGTGAAATACTCAGTCCCCTTCCATAAGCAGTGACACATAGTACTCTGTTACACTATCATGCAACACAAAATATGAAAAAGATTACAATGCAAACAATACTACTCACATCTTCTGGAAGCGTGAGTCTATGGAATTCGTAGCTGAAACTTGAGGTTGTTCATTGTTCTGTTTCCATGAAGAAGTTGCATTGCTGACAGCCTGTGGTGCATGCATAATGAAGAAAGATGAGCAAAAACAGACAGGTAACACACGTACACAACCCACAAAAGAGAATAATTTCAAGCCTGGAAAATAGGTAATAGTGTTTTGAAGAAAATTTAAAGGCAACTAATTTGAAAACATGAGTGCAGACTCAGAAGAACTAAATATTTAAATAGCACCTAATTACCTCATCAGGGTAACTCTTCTAAAGGACAAAAAAATAAATACTACGTACAACATTAAACCATCAGCCATTCTAGCATAAAGATAATTCATAATATGTAAAACTATGATAGAGCCTCAATAATTTGAAATCATTAAAGAAAACTTGCTTATTTGTTGACAGGAAAAGGGAAAAAAAAATAAAAAGAACGCCCACTTCCATGTTTCACTAAGTACAATATTTGGCAAGGAAACAAAAGGACAGTGTCTCACCCACTTATTTCCATGACCTGAAGATGTCTTATTGTTCAATACAGGTTTTACTGAAGGAATTCTTGATGATGCAGATGAAGTAGATTCTGGGCCCTCAAGTTGATATGGCTGAAGGCTTTCCAGGTCATTTACTTGACGTTGAAATTTCGGCTTTAGAGCCTCTAACTCATCTAGCACCCTCAGCAGTGTCTAAAAGAAAAAAATAACAATAATAATTATAAAGCAATGGTAAACTTTACACGCTGTAAGTTAGAGAAAACACATCGCTTCTACACATGAAAAAAACAGTAACCATAACTTTCAATTGTGAAAAGATAAATCAATTGAATGTAGAAGCATTTAGGTCAATATTCTAAAAACATTACTGAATACAAGCTAGTATGGTGTGATATAAGCACTCGCCTTTCTAGAAAATGCTTTTTCTCTTGGACACAAAACCTGGTAATCTCGATGGTGTGGTATAGTTTCAGTCACCAAACTAGTCAAATCAATAACAAGGATATTATAATATTTAAGTACAATGTGCAATAAAGCTCGGAGAAAAATAGTTTAAAGGTGATGTTTTGTATCCATTTACCTGGAATATCTAAGCAGCATTACATACAAATCAATGATGTTCTTCTCCTCCCGGTAGATACTTGCCTGAGTACGATCAAACAGGTGATGAAAAACTTGTCTCACAAAAATCGAGAAGAATTTAAAGGAAAATCAGAGCAGAGGGAGAAAAAAAGGAAACGATTAAGCACAAACTGGCAAATTCTATTAGGGCAACTTCATATCTTGATCGGTTAGCTGAAATAAGAGAATTTGTACTTCAATTACACAGATAAACGAACCTGCCGGAGTATATTATCCGCGATCCGATAGTAATTGCGCAGCGAAATTCGATTGTCGACGTCGACCTTCCGAGTAATCGCTTGGACGTTGATCGACGGTCGTCTCATTTTCAGTGGACTCCGACGATTACCGGATCAAGTTTGCAGGTGGAGAACTGTACAAACCCCGAACCCAGAGACGTCACCTAGAACGGAGCAAGTTTGCTTTCCTTTGTGTTATACTCCTTATGTCGACAAAAGGAGTCCATAAAAACTGGTTTTGAAAAAAGTATGAGCCTGGAGAGCAGCTCCGATCTCCAACCATACCATTTTAATTTGCTAAAAGTTATAATATACGGAGTAACTAGTTAAACAATTTTATTCTTCTCCAAAGGGCATGCTTTATTTTAGCAAGTTTGTCAAAAAATGAATTTGGTTTGCTAAATATGACAAGTCCTTCAAACTTTAGCTAGCCAATACTTAAAAATGAAATAACAAATAATGGTTGGAGAATGAAGCAAAAAAGTGATTGTTATATTACTATTCATTTGTTATAATGTAAAAATAGCAAATCCATATAACAAACATGGTTGGAGATGCTCTTATGACTCATAAATTAAATTTTAATACGGAGTAGAAGATTGGTGGTAGGGAATGAAACTAAAGTATGAGTTGTTAAGAATCAAACTCAAGTCTATTTTCTTGTTCTAAATATGTCTAAAAAGTCATACCTTTTCTGGGGTGTCAATTCATTGATGTTTAGAACATGAACAATGGCAAGTAAAGAAATAGAATGCCACACGATAACGAGGCATATTTCAACCAATTAAAACAAGTACAGTCACATAACGGCAAGTGAGTAGAGTGTCAAGTCCTACAATGGAAAGTTATTACTTTTTTTTATTTTTTAAATTTTTTATGTATATTAACTAATAAAAATTATTTTTATCATCTCTTTTAACATACAAATACCCTGTATTTCTATTACCTTCATAGAAAAAGCTTTTTTTATATATAAAAATAGAAATTGAAACTAAAAATAAAATATTTCATAGTGGATAATCAAATTAAAAATTTAAAAATCATAATACAAATTAAACAAACTAAATCAGAAAACATGAAAAGGAGATTGAGAGTTTACCCCCCTATAGCTGCTGCTGTCAGAAAACTCCCTCCCCGACGTCCGCTTGCAAATTTCTTTCTTAAGTTAAAAAAAAGAAAAAAAAACAAAAGAAAAATTAGCCTTACCATGCCTCGGCAATGACTCGCATGGAGAGTCAAAATGCAAATGACACGCGAGTGCGTGGAGGCTATTTGCCTCGCCACTGTCAATGTTCTTTGATCATGTGTGTTTAACGTACTTTAGTTAAGATATTGTATTGAGATCATGATATGTCTTGAGACCTCAACATAAAACGTGCCCAAAATTGACCAAAGCTCCCACAATAGTTCTAATCATAGGTAGTACAAACTGTGGAAAAAAAGTCTAATATATACCTAAAAAATGAAAAGTAGTAGAAGGCCGCTACCAACTAATATGAAATGGGTCCACTGTTTATCCCAACCAACGATGCACATTTTTAAGATCTGCCACTACTCCATATATTTTTTACACAAGTTATATTTAGATTGCAAAATAGTTACAAACATACAGAGTATCTTTTAGGATAATTCATGATAATTCAGACTCATTTGGGTATAATTCGATCCCAAACAACATGGAACAAAACAAGAAAAAGTTGTGTCCCAAAAGCCTGATATATCGTTAGCATTAATAAAAAGGCCAAATAGCGTCAGTACCCCCGTAGTTTGCAAAATAGACACCAAAACCCCCTCTGTTTTCAAAACTTATTTCTAAAGTCCTTGTGGTTTCAAAATGCTGCACCCGTGCCCCCTCTGATCATTTTCCGGCCATTTTTCCGGCGAAGAAGGGGGGCATTGCTGCATATTTACTAAACCACAGGGGGTATCGGTGCTGATATTTATTTCTCGCTTATTTTTTTGTTTTTTTTCATTTTTTCCTTTATTTTTTACTTTTATTAATAAAGGTTTTTTAAAATTATTTTTAAATGCTCATAAAATTTAAAGTTATTTTTGTTTGAAAAAAATTAACATATAACGTGTATGTACTTCTCAAATCAACAATTTTTGTTTTTTCTGAAAAAAGTAAACTTTTTTTTGGAGAATTTCAAAAAAATGACGAATAAAATAAGAAACAAAATAATAGAAAAATAAAAATGAATATCCTTTTCGAACATCTCAATTCTAAGGACTTTTTTAGGCTTGTCCATTTTTTGTGTCAGACTTTTTTTGTGTACTTTTTTTTCATTTTATTTTTCCATATTTTTATTTTTTTATTCTAGGTTTTTCTTTTTGAACTTTCCAAATAAGTACCTAACAAAAAGTGAAAATGTTTAATTTCAAATAGATGCAATGTATGTTATTTTTTTTATTTTTATTTTTATTTCAAAAACAAAAAATTTTAAAATTTTAAAACATTATAAAAAAATTGAAAATAAATTAGAAAAAAACTAGGAAAAGCAAAAAGAGATAGAAAATATTTAANAAACGAAAAATAAAAAATGAGCACGAATACCCCCTATGGTTTAAAAATTATGCGCAAATGTCCCCTCTTCGCCGGAAAATGGCCGGAAAATGATCAGAGGGGGAACGGGCGCAACATTTTGAAACCACGGGAACTTTAGAAATAAGTTTTGAAAATAGAGGGGGTATTGGTGCCAATTTTCCAAATCACGGGGGGCACCAGAGCTATTTGGCCTTAATAAAAATAGTACATCGACAATTACTTTTTTTTAGAGCCATTCCATATTAACTCTACTTTTAAACACTTTGGTTCTATTCCATTCACAAACAATACACTAATATTATATACACGGAACATTGTTTATGTCTGTAATGTGTGCGGAGAGAATATAATTAAAAATGAGATTCATTAAGTTTAATTATTGTTTAACATATAACAGAGTCTGAATAATTTTACTTGTTCTGTTTGGGAAGCCGGAGAAACTCATTTATCATGTCCACACATTATTGTCGTCGTCACTTCGGACCCTTCCCTTTCACCCGGTCCCATTCGTACCAAAGTTTTCCTCCAGGCTCCAACTGGACTCACACAGCTACTAAATATTTGATTCCAAGTCCAAACGGGACCAATTGCGAAACGCCAAACGGTACGACTTTGGTCACTGTTCGTCGTCGTCGTCACTGAGATAGAGACTCCGGCGAGAAGTTCAAAGCGCCATTTCTACGCTGGTATTCGTCTTCTCTTCCCACCTGGTTCAGTTTCTACTTCTCGCCCGCGCTCTGTCCTCCTCATTCTCCTCATCCCCCGCTCCTTGTCCACACGTATGCCTGTTAGGTCTATTTGTATTTGGGGGACAATTGAATTGATTATTGATTTCAGGTGGCAATTTATTTAGGTTTAGCAAAAAGTTAGCTGCTGTTTGAAAGAAGTAGCTCCGGAATCTCGAGATGGAATACAGAGTATCAGGTCTGCTTGCTGGGTCTGATATTCATGGCTTCCACACCTTGGAAGGCAAGGACTTCTATATCAATATTTGACTTTTCTTTTTTTTTTATTATATTTTTGCTGTTATTATAGTACGGAGTATTATACATATAAAATACATATAGTACTTACTCTTCAAACTTACTACTTCAGGACAAATGGTTGAATTATGTGCCACTTCACGTATATAGTGTTAATTGTCTTGTAATTTGGCCTCAATTTCAACAAGTTCAGTCAATTTTAACCTAAAAGTGACAAGTAGGATACATGGCACATTTGAGTTTTCACTGTTTATTAATCAGTGACACTGTAAACCTACAGACTTGACAAAATAAGAAAAGACATAATAAATCTTGGATCTTTCCTTAGATGGGTTCTGTGCATGTGCAGATTTGGATGTCAAGACTGTGATGGAGGAAGCCAACATGAGATGGCTACGGCCAAATGAGATTCATGCTTTCCTCTGCAACTATAAGTATTTCACAGTCCATGTTAGGCCTGTGAACCTCCCAAAAAGTAATAACTTTTGGCATGAAAATTCATAGTACCTTTTTAGAACAGTGTTATTATCTTGCTATTTTATGTATGTGTCTAGTATTTATTTGCATGACATAATATAGGCGGCACCATTGTTTTCTTTGATCGTAAGAAGCTTAGAAACTTCCGAAAAGACGGTCATAATTGGAAAAAGAAAAAGGATGGAAAAACTGTCAAAGAAGCTCACGAGCATTTAAAAGTGAGTAAGGTTTATCTATCTTTAATTGTTAATTATTCAATTTTGTGATAAATTTCCAGTTTTTTCGCTATATGACTACCTATTCATGAAAATATTTAACAATTCACGAATCACAGGAGGTTCATATCTTGATTTTCTCATCCAACCAGTGTCGTTGTTCAGATTTACATGTCTTTCTGAACTGCAAGAGAAATTAAGAGAAAAACATAAATCAGTAGGCTTATTGCTTATTATACTAGTGATGGGCTTTGAGAACCCGGGTCTAGAGTAGACTAGACACATAAGAGCTAAGAAATGGAATAAGAATATTCCTCTTGATTATTGCTGATCATAGCTTACCTCTCCCCATGGATTGGGGGGCGTATCTATACTTGCTGCATGCCTTACACAATTGTCGTATAGCTGTTGTAATATGTACGAAAGTACAGTGAATATGGGGAGAGGTAAGTTGTCTATACAGTGAATATGCTGTCTATACAGCTGCATGTATTATATTGATACATGCACTATATAGATACATCATACAAATGTATGTTGTCTACGAGTGTGCCCAACGGATTGGACATCGATGTCTAGGAATCTTATGCATTTCACAAAGATCTTCCAAGTCCCAAGCCTTTCCTGTAGTCTGCAGCTCAGCAGAGGACTCTTCCAGAGGCCATCCTTGAATTATGCAAACATGCCTCAGGTTGAGTTCCGAGGTTGGGTGCCAGACCGGACAGAGGCCCGATTGCCAAGGTCGTGTGATGTGACCAATTGTTTCGCCAAGTGCTGAGGCCAATAGTTGTGGCCAATAGGTTTGGCCGGGTTCCGGGGCCGATAGGTGTGGCCGAGTGCAGGGGACGATAGATTTAGCCGAGTGCTGTCGCTTTTTGTGATCTTGCGTCTTGAGCTTCTCTAGTTGGCCTTCAAGTTATTGATTGGGCCAGATACCCCCTTTGTCTAGGGTATCCATCAACTAGTTTTGAAAGTTCATCTTTTATTGTGTTTTTTTATAAATATTTTGAAGGATCTTGTGTGTAGTGCAGGTTGGTAATGAAGAAAGAATTCATGTATACTATGCACATGGAGAAGATAATTCAACATTTGTTCGCAGATGTTACTGGCTGCTCGATAAGTATTTCAATTATTGAGTTCTTGATGAATTGACATTTGTTGCTTTTGTTTCACTCAAAGTTATGAATGTTTGAGATCTTCACAAAAAAAGAAAAGAAAAGATGAAAGAGCAGGCTGTTTGGTTTTTTTCATGTTAATTTATGCTTGTAACAGGAGTCTGGAACATATAGTGCTTGTTCATTATCGTGAAACGCAAGAGGTTTGATTTTTTGTGCCTTGCATGCTTCATATGTGTTGTTGTTGTTGCATGCTTCATATGCATTATTTACAATTTTACAATACATGCATATATGTGTGTCTATGTTATGATTGCCTGGTATACTATGGAAGGTTTCCTATTGCATTGGTAAACTTTTTTATACTATGGAATAGCATCCCTATGTATCATTGTTTACGAACCATACACTGATACAATAATTCTTTTATTCTCCTTCCATATTGCAATCCATATGGAGTTCTGGTTATGTTCCCTCTCATTTCCCTCTTTACTTGAGCGAAACAACAACAACCTTACCCCACTGCCTCAAAGGTTCCCGCCCATTGCAGGGATTACTTGAACTAAACATGCTGATATATATTTCTGAAAAGTACATGGATATCTTAAATTCATAATTGCTTGGTATTGAACTTTTTCCTTATAGATATGGTGCCAAGTATCGAGCAATACTATATATGTTAGTCCTTTTTTTGAAGTTGCATGTTCATTATACAGTACAAGACTCACATTTTCCCTCAATAATAATGCCCTATTAGTCTATTACTCACTCTGCATCTCTCGACTCTTCTGTCCTTCCAAAATGGTCAAGATTGTACTAAAACCTATTGCCATTTGTTCTGCCTAAGGTGCCATTTGTTCTCTGTGTGAAGATACATCTAAAAATGTTTTTAACAGTTTTTACGAGCAATGTTTTTAGAGGAACACAAATTTTTCCATCATAGTTTTTAAGACACTTCTAGCAAGTTATTGAACCAAAATTAGTCACCATTACACTACACATGGAACAAGCGAACTACATTAAACCAATTGCTCTCTTCACTTTGTTACAATTGGGAATATGATATCAATAAAATTTCTGATTTTGTCAGCTATTATGCAGTTGCAGGGTTCACCAGTCACTCCTGGGACTTCAAATTTCAGTTCTGCCTTTTCTGATCCATCATTTCCTTTGCTTTTATCAGAAGAATCTGAGTCCGCATTTGAATGTACAAATCAGTCTGGAAAGCAAGCATGTTTAGGTAGTGTTCTTTGAACTTCATATAGTTCAACATCAACTATTCTTCAACCTGAAGTGCTTCAATATACAAGCAGTAAAGTTCATACTTTGTATAAGATTTCAATATGAGCTTGCAGTAGAAATGTTTCTCTTTGAAATGAGAAAGGGAACACATGTTATATGTGTGTTCTGAGAGAGGGTGGGTGGGAAGGAAGGACTTGAATGTCCAATCCTCCTATGCCTTCAATTAGCTGTATTAAAGTTTTGTCATCTCACTCATTGGCAGAGCTTAATGGAAACATGACAATCCAAAATCATCAACAGACTTTGCATGACATTAACACTCTTGACTGGGATGAGCTTTTGGCACCTGATGACCCTAGCAAGTTGCAATCAACTCAAGAAGGTAATAAATATATTCTTTCTAGATGTTATTTTCATTAGGTTCCTTAATAATTATTTGCATTCTTCATTTTTTGGCTGGATTACTCAGTTGTAGCAAACGCTTCACCTTGGCAACAACATCAATATGAAGCAAATAGTTTCAAACTCATTGTGAGTAGACTGCTTCATAGATGTCACCCTCATTTCTTTCAAGTTTTCTTACAACATTACTTTCAGTAATTACTTATTTTTTCATTATTCTGTTCAAATGGCAATTTGATCTATCTGGCTTCTGATGTCTACTGCGTAGGATAACAGTTTGTCAGCTGAGACATTAGCAGTAGGATATATTGATAATTTACCTGGGCAAATATCGGTAAGCAATTCTCTTCATTTCATCATCCCAAATGATGTGATGCTTCAGTCAGTGAATGCTCCAGTGACTTCATATTCTGAGAGGAATGATTTTGATGATCTGAGTAAGGTTGGTCTTCAAGGTCAGGACAGTTTTGGCAGATGGATGAACTACCTAATAGCTGCAGATTCACCAGGATTTGTGGGTGATCTATCACCTGAGACTGCAACTTCAGATGGTTATCAATCTTTAGAATCACAAAGTATTAAAGAACAGTTATCTGCACATGAACAGATCTTTAACATAACAGATGTCTCACCTGCATGGGCTTTTTCAACTGAAGAAACAAAGGTTTTTTCTCTTCCCAATAATCTGTTTCTATGTATTAATAATTTGAAATGATATTAGTATCTTTCTAGGACCCATTTATTTATATTATGCCATGATGTTTTTAACTAATTGGGTGATACACTTCACTCAGGTATTACTGATTGGGCATTTTCATGGAGGACAGCCGCAACTGGCAAGTGCCAATCTTGTTTGTGTCTGTGGAGATGCTCATGTTCCTGCAGAGCTTATCCAATCTGGGGTATATCAAATTTTACTCTCACCTCATCGTCCTGGATTGGTTAACCTATTTTTGAGTTTTGATGGCTCTAAACCCATCAGTCAAGTGATAGCCTTCGAATTTCGAGCTCCTTTAATTCATAAAAAATCTACTGCCCCTTCAGAGGTGTTGTGGCATTGGGAAGAATTAAGAGTTCAATTGAGGCTGGCACACTTGCTGTTTACCACACCTAAGAGCCTTGAAATTTCATCTAGTCCAGTACCACAAGATGCCTTGAGATGTGCTAAAACTTTTACCCATAAATGCTCTCAAATTACCCGAAGCTGGGCATTTTTAACCAAATCCATCAATAACAATGAACTCCCTTTCCCACAAGCAAAAGAGGATTTGTTCGAGCTGTCTCTGCGCAACAAGCTACTGGAATGGCTACTGGAACGTATTCTTGAAGGGTGTAAAATACCCGAGCGGGATGAACAAGGTCAAAGTGTTATCCATTTGTGTGCTATTCTAGGTTACACATGGGCTGTCTACCCATATAAATGGTCCGGCCTATCAGTGGACTACAGAGACAAATTTGGATGGACTGCTCTTCATTGGGCTGCATATTATGGCAGGTATAGTATTGCAGTTTTTCTAATAAGTAATCTAGTTCGTAGCAAGGTTGTGATAGTGGTGGTTTAATACCTAGAGTTCATTTGGAACCCGGAGAATTCTAGGGAAATGAACAAAAATTGCTAAAGTTATTTTCTCATATTGGCCTTTACCATAAAAAGCCAATGAAACTAAAATATGATTTTTTTTATTATTATCATTTTTAGTGCATATCTTTTTTCTTGGGCTTGGTTGGGATAGGTCCTAGTCTGGCATAGTCATCCTTGACAGAAAACCTAGATATTCAACCTTGTCGATGTCTATGCAATTAAGCTTGGAATTACCTAGTATATGATATTCTTAATGAAGTTAAACATCATAAATATATCACCCACAGATCTTTTTGAGGAAATAAATGAACTCTCAATCTATTACAATGTATTTCTATTAGGGATATTAACTAAAATAATTATTACTGAGTACTAATGAGTAATTATTGCATGGAAACAGCCTCTCTACTTTCGGGTAGGGGCAAGGTCTGCGTACACACACCCTCCCCAGACCCTACTTTGTGGGATTCAACTGGGTTGTTGTTGTAATGAATAATTATTACTGATAAAAATAGGAAACTAATACTAATGCTAAAACATATTATTAGGCTCGTATCATCACGCACCTCTTAGAGCGCAAGCTTGCTCTCAAGCTCGCAACTGTGATAGCCATTGCACACTTGCACCGACACTTCCTTGAGACTTGGAGACCAAAAGCCACAGCATCATTTGTTCCCCCCCTGAAGAAATGATAGTGTCATTTTCTTTAATAAAAGAAAAGATATAGTTTCAGTGACTGGCCCAATGGATGAATTTATTAGAAATGTATGTGGTCCACCATTAGCAAAACATGCCTTTATCATGTCATAATTCCATCTCATAGCATCCTTACTATACAAATACTGATTCCACCATGTTTCCTCATTTATTAAATACAGCTTTTGTGTTATTTACTTATTTTAGTAATCCATTAAGGCTTAGAAGATTGGTTCCTAGGTAAACTACTTTCCTTTTATTGAATAGCGAAAAGAAACCTTTATTTATGAAATAAATGAGACAAAATGCTTTAAGTACACATGGGGTAAGAAAGTTCTCCACTAAGGAGTTTCCTGGTTCGGCTCTCCAGGCAACGAGACCATAACACGAAGGAGCACGAACCCTAGCGGGTGAAGTCCCATCCTGACATCATCCACTGCACGGAACTGTATCATCCGGTCTTGCAAACTCAGCTTTGTCAAGATCCTCTGAAGGTGCTGACAATAGTGTTAGCGGAAGTGTGAAAGCAGCTATTTTCCGGCAATGGTGGAGCAGGCAGGGCCCTTGAGTGGGATAAATTGGGTATGTTTTGTTTGGATGGAGCAGGCAGGGGAGTCACTGCCTCCTGGCAATGGAAGTGTTGACAGCAACCAGTGTTTACTGGAACATTGGTGCAGTTTCTGGATTTGGCTTGAACTTTGGTTACTAATAATCTGACAACAAGAGAATGTTTGATGTGCCGGTGGATGAGATGTTGGCTTGACAACGGTCGATCATACTCCGCAAGTTGTAACTGACACTCATGGTGAAACAGTGGGCATTTTCCTCATAATATTACAGTTAGGCAGCTAATACGTCTTGAATAACAGAATCACGATATACCATGGTTGTCAAGTCGTCCCCTAGGCCACGACTAGTCGCCGACTAGTCGTCCGGGCGGTTTTGCCATGGCGATTTGCTCTCCGACTAGCGCCTAGGGCCGACTAGGCTACAAAGCGTGCAAAGCGACGCTTAGTCGCGATTATGCACCGTCTAATCGGTGAAAGAATCTGGCCAAATTTGACCTAATCCATTCAACCCGACCCGACCCGACCCAACCCAAATTTCATTAATTTTTAATTTTTAATTTTTATAAAACACGCCTCTTCCACGCAATCCATCTACAATCGATAGTCTTGAGTGTCGCGACTCTCTCTTGAGTTCCAGCCGTGACTTCCAGGCTTCCAGCGACTCTCCTCTCAATGGGTAAGATTTCTCAATGTTTACTTTCTTATCATTAAAGTATACTCTTTATTTGATTTAATTTTCATTGATTTGATTCATTAAAGTATAGAGTATAATATACTTTAAAATTTTCAGTTTTCTTCTGTTTTCTTAATATTTCAGTTTTTTTATCTGATTTCAGTTAATATTTTGGTTTTTTTCTTATTCTAGTGTTTTAGTATTTCAGTTTTTTTTTCAGTTTAATATTTAAATTTTTTTCTGAATTCAGTTAATATTTTGGTTTAGTATTTCTTATTTTAATATTTTAAGTTAATATTTTTTTCTTATTTTAATATTTCAATTTAGTATTTCTGAATTCAGTTAATATTTTAGTATTTTAATTTAGTTAATATTTTAGTATTTCAATTTTTTTCTGATGTAGATATATATAATGTTAAAATTTTCAATAGTAATTGTGATTTGTCTCTACAACTAGTCGCCTAGTCCACTAGTCTCTCCGTCACCGACTCGACTCGACTTGTCGACTTAACAACCATGCGATATACTTGGAGGCTGGAGCTCAATCCTATCCATTATCAAAATATTAATATGATGAACCGGACACCTTGAGCTTGGGAAACTGTTCTTTGACTTTTTTTCACGATTTCTATTTTCTTTTTTGTTTTTTTGTGAACTTGTGTTAATATGAATAATAGTAGTAATAGCAATAATATTAATAATAACCGCTACTTTTAAAGGAAAACATAATACTACTATGAGTAGTATCTAACTAGAACACAACACACTCAAATTTAAAAAAAAACTGAGCAGAAGAACATAAAAGATAAGATGGGAGAAGAAAAACAAAACAGAAAGCAATGCTTATATTTTGAATGCTCTTTGATGAATTTCTTGTGGCTGAAATGAACGACATGTAATGAACTTTGGGAGTCCAGGATTGTGGTAGTAGTATCTCTTCTGAAGTAGGTGATGCGGTCTGCACCCTGCAGCTCTGCAGGAACAAAACTAATTGTTCCTTTTTTTCTTTTTTTTTTGTCCTCTCAGTGGAGTGTAGGAAAGAAATGGGTCTGACCAAATGCCACTGAGTGTGGTTTGGATATGTGAAAGTCATCTTTGATAGAGCCCTCGGGTAAGAGTTTTATTTTTGACACTTGACAGAATCCCTAGAAGCTCAGCGCTGTCAACATTTGTGTAAACAATAAAGTTTGGAAATACAAGATATCAATTATTGAAACTAATCAGAAACTATTACTACTAATAGTATGAAACTAATACTAATGATATAATCCTATTCTATATTTTCCCCAAATTTTGTTTCCTTTCAATTTTGCTCTATATTTTGAACCCTATTTTTTCACTAGTAGTTTCTGGGTTCCAGACACAGCCCTAGTGAATGGTGAAATCTATTTTTCTTGTAGGGAAAAAATGGTTGCAGTTCTTTTAGCTGCCGGGGCAAAGGCATCTATGGTCACTGATCCAAATTCTGAAACCCCTGATGGACTCACTGCAGCTGACCTTGCATCTAAGAATGGATATGAGGGTCTAGGAGCTTATCTTGCAGAAAAGGCTCTAGTTGCACAATTCAATGATATGACTTTGGCTGGCAATGCTAGTGGTTCACTCCAAACTGCAGCAGCAGCAGAATCTGATAATGTCACCAGTGGTGACTTGGAACTGAACGATACTCTGGCAGCTTACCGGACAGCTGCTGATGTAGCCTCACGCATACAGGCTGCATTCAGGGAACGTTCCTTTAAATTGAGGAGGAAAGCGGTCGAGTCTTCAACTCCAGAGATTGAAGCACGGAGTATAATTGCTGCCATGAAGATCCAACACGCTTTTCGCAAACACGAGACGAGAAAAAGATTGGCAGCTGTTGCGAGAATCCAGTATACTTTCAGAACATGGAAGATTCGGAAAGATTTTCTTAACATGCGCCGCCAAGCTGTCAAAATTCAGGTATCTTCTCTTTCATGTTGGAATATGAAATCCACCCAAAGTCGAAACTGTCAAACACTTCTACATTAGATTTACTGCACACATGTGGGATTTAAAACGAACAAAAAACACGCTGAATTGGTTAAACTTTATGTTACTCTCTATTCTTGCAGGCCATGTTCCGTGGTTTCCAAGTCCGGAAGCAGTACAGAAAGATCACTTGGTCTGTGGGGGTGCTTGAAAAGGCAATTTTACGCTGGCGTTTGAAGAGGAAGGGGTTCCGTGGACTTCAGGTTCCTGCGACCATTGAGAGCCAGGAGAAAGAAGATTGCAATGTAGAGGAGGGGGAGGAGGACTTCTTTCGAGCAAGCAGGAAACAAGCAGAAGAGCGTGTTGAGAGGGCGGTTGTGCGGGTCCAGTCAATGTTTCGTTCGAAAAAGGCACAGGGAGAATATAGAAGGATGAAGCTACAGCACAACTCAGCATGGGTAAGCAACATAATACCTATTTTTTAATTCTTGCTCGACTGTTTATACTCCGTGTTAGTATTTACTTGGAGTTGTTTATCTACAGCTGCAATATTACGAAGAGGAGTGTCTTGATCCTGATACTCACATGGAACAAAAATGATAAAAATGTAACTGGCATTTTACTCCAAAAAGACAAGCAGGAAGCAGTTGTGCAGGTTTTCTATAAAAACTTGAATATTCTCAGGTAATTGCTGTAATCTTGCTGATATATTTTACCCCTTAAAAAGCAGAAAAAAGAATGGGAAAATAGCTTGAAAATATAATATTGTATTCTTCAACTAGTGTTCCTACAAGATTGGGTAGTCCTTTCTATAATAATCTCTATTCTTAAAAAGAAAAATAAAAAGTGAGTGGTACCAGTCTCATTGTAATATGAAAAAATAAATGTTGGTGTCCATAATATCGGAAATGTTGATGCAAATTCAACTTTCATATGATGTGCTATTGTACATTTGGCACACGAGTTTGAATCATTTGTTGCAATGTTTACATCCAACCATTGGCGGATACAAAGTAATGCCAACGATGTCAATCGACAGCATTTGTCACCCCCACCCCCACCCCACCCCCCAAAGTGATGCCAAATTTGAAAGTTATGCCTTCACCAAATGGCCACAAAAGAGTGCAATATTGGTCTTGGCAGAATTCATAGTTCTTGTTACCACCAAATGAGCCCTAAAAGGTGTAAGGAATGGCAGGATGGGAATTCCAAGACCAGAGTCTTGAACTTCATGGGGAAGCCTAAGCAGGAAGTGGTGTTTCTATTTTTAAAAAAATGATAAAATAACACTAATTTTGGTTCTTAGGGGACTTCTGTAGAATTTTTTTTTGTTCTTAGGGGACTTTTGTAGAATTTTTTTGTTACTCCGTATATTTGACCAAAAGGACTATTTATGAAATAGTTTTTAAAAATTGAGGATGATTTGTGTAATGTTTTATTATAAGAGAAAATATGAAAAACTACATATAATTAAAAACTATTAACGAAATCTACGCAGTAATAAATCCATCTGGGTGATAAAGTAACTTCTTTATAAAATGAAGCGCTATTGAGTTCATTATTAACGGAATTGATTTTTAAACATGCATCTTTTAACATTCTTGAAATGTACCTTTCAAACAATGTACAAAATTTTGTGATTTTTAAAATGATTTTATTTACAAATTGGTATTGAAATTAAAAAATTATATATTTAAAAACTATATAAAAAAATTTTATATTACAAAAGGTGAAAAAAATCTTTTATTTTGTCTATTGATTAATGATAATATGCAGATAAATAAAAATTATCGAGAAAAAGTAATAGTAAAAGGTAAATTATTCAGGGACGGATAGAGTATGCTCCGAACCTTTATAAACAATGACTGTTTTAGACTTTTAGTCAGATTTTAGTTGTATCAACGTATTTATTTAATTTGAAATTCGAAGTAAAATTTTTTAGAAAAGTTTAATACGTAGTACGGAGAATGTCATTTTAGTTTGGATCATTAATTATTCAGATTTAAAACATTGTAAAAACGATATTTTAAGTTCCAGTAATAAATGAGTAATGCTAGGCTTACAAATAAAATGGTCACAATATTCACAAATTTACTATTTATTGTTTTAGTTTTTAGTTTAAAATTATTTTAAGGTACTTATTTTTTATTAAAGTTTACAAATAGTAAGTTTGTGAGATTTGTGATCATTTTGTATGTGAACCAAACATTTTCTTTAATAAATAAATAACCTCTTATTAATCAATGTTAAAATGAATTATAATACATGGATTTTTTATAGAAGCAAATTAACAAAAAATTAGATGAATATTCACCATAAGGTTATGTTATGCACTTACTTCCTTTGTCTCTTTGAAAGACTTTCTTATTACACTGAATTACGATGTTTCATTTAAATTATTTTCAATTAATTTTATTTAAAATCTAGTATACAATTTAAAAAATAAAATGTATACATATAAAACTAGATGAAAGAATTCTACAAAAAAATAAGTAACAAACCTACATTAGTTTATCAAATTAGTAGAGCAAAAAGACAAAGAAAGAAATAAAAATTTATACGTGTAGACAATGAACATGAAAATCTCTCACACAAAAATAACAACTGAGAGGGTTCATAAAATAGTGAACTATAAGTCTATTAACGGTACACTTTATTAATATATCCTCCATCCAATAGTAATGTTCTCATTCACTATTTACACGGTCAAATTTTATTAACTTTGTTATTCGATTTTCATTTCTCATTTGATAAAATAATATAGTTATGTCATCTCCAATTTTGTAGATTTTTCATATGATTTTTTAAAATATATTTTTTATTTTTTAATTCTATATTATTCTTCATATAAAATTATTAAAATATAATAATGCATAACATGCGAATCTTAAAAAAGAGAATCACACATTATAGCTTTGTTTGATACACGAAATTCAAATTATAGAATTGAAATTGAGGAAAACAAATCTAATTCTGCTGTTTAGTTGCACAAAATATATAGATTTGGAATTGACAATGTCAAAAATGAATTAAAATTAGAGAATTTAATTACATTTTAAGCAGTTCCATAGAATTTTAATTTTCAAATCGATTCCAATTCTATCATTTCATGTACCATACCGCACCCTATATTAATCACTTTAAAAAATACGAGAAATTAATAAAATGGAGTATCTTGAAGGGGAAATGAAAGAAAAAAACAGGGAGGAACAAAAGAATTAAAAACAAAAGGCCTGTAAATCAAGGCCCAATAAAGGCTAGGGTTCATATATAAAGCGTAACAGCCTTCAGCAAAACGTTCCCATTGTGCTTGCGCTTGCCAAGAGTTCCGAAACCCTAGCAAACGACGACAGAGGTAATTTCTTCGTCGCCGCTCCTTCTTCTTAACTGCGCGTTGTTAATTATTCGCATTTGATTTGTTCGATTCATCGAAGTTTCTCCTTTCTGAGTAGAGAATCAGCAATGGCGAAGTCGAAGAACCACACCGCCCACAACCAGTCCTACAAGGCTCACCGGAATGGAATTAAGAAGCCTAAAGTTCACCGCAACTCCTCCACGAAAGGGGTGCGTATCTTCACTCACGTTTTTTCATCAATACTTGATTCGTACAGATTTAATTGTCCTTTGCTAAAAACACTCGAATCGAAGAAATGAGATTAATGTTAAATTGAGTTTGCCTTGTTCTCTATTGATGCCAACAACCCTAGTGTATCTTTAATGAATGTGATTGGCAATTCCTCTACAAATGGCTTAATTTAGTAAATGAGAATTCAGTACCCATATTGTTTCGTTTCTCATCTCGGTTGATTAATACTCTAAATTAGTTTTTTAAGGAATAGTTTATTCTGGAAAATAGGAGTTTGATTATTTTTCAGAGTTGGATTCCAGGAGCAGAATCAACAACTGATTGTATTTAGAATTTGATGCAAATACAAAACAAGTTGATTCTGAAAATAAGAATTGTGAATCAGCTGAAAGAATTTAAAAAAGGACCAGTTATTCAACACATATTACAGTAGGAATCCAGACAATCAAATATGGGCAAGGGATCCAGATTTTGTATAATATGCTGGAGAATTTAATCATTTTAAATTGATTTATGTTGCCTATAAACAGATGGATCCTAAATTCCTGAGGAACCAGAGGTATGCAAGGAAGCACAATAACAACAACAACAAGAGTGGAGAGGTCTCTGCCGAAGAGTAGATAACTCTCTTTTTACCCTAATGATGGCTGTCTGCTTAATGCTGTTTCAGTTTGTTTCTTAGAATTACGTAGAGGGAATGTTGACAATATTGTTATATGCCTCTCTTTTGAACTTGCCTTTAGTTTTGGCTTATTGTGCACGGGGGATTTGTATTGTTTTCTTGTTGGTTGCTTGAAGTGTTATTCTATATCGAGTTTTTATTGCACTGATCCTTAACCTCGTTGAGTCCATCCAATACATCTTCTTCAATGATTCAGGGAGACATCAATTAACCCTTTTTTTAGCTAACTCTTTACCCTTTTTCAAGTTTCACATTATATTGGGAGTGGGAATTACTGGCTTTTTATGCTGGAACTTGAGTTGGGTAATTGGGTTATATATAGGCTTCGTTTATGAAAATTTTATGATACTGCTGGCTAAAAGCTAATGAGTTTTATTAAACCTGGGAGTGTTATTTCTGAAAATGAGTTTTAGCTTGATTTGGTTCTCTTGTGGTTGGATTACAAGACTCGTAATTTGTGTATAAATGCCATTTAACTTCTATGGATAGTTCTTATTTATATATTAGCTCTAATTAGCTTGACTCAATATTGTTCCAGCTTGAAATGAGTTGAGTTTTAGCTTAGGTTTGATCTCAAAACTTTAAAGAGATAAACTCAAGTTAGATATGAAACATTTGTATGCTTTGTGAGGCAACTTGTATTTTTAAAGCAGATATTTTTATCTTGTTTAATAATAAGGGTTCTATTTTTCAATTTGTTTAGAAATGCTACGGAGTACTTCGTAGTATATTCAGTGTGTTATTTATAAAATTTATATGGAGTGCCATATTTAAAAAAATTAAAAAGTCAACTATTTCTTTTGTCACGTCCATAGCGTCTATAAAGTTATCTCTTTGTCTGGATTTTTCTACGGAGTATTTTACTTCCATTTCTTAAATTTGAGGAATTTTAAAGTGAACTAAAATCTTGACGGTGGGAGTAACATTTTTGGGTTCACTCGTTCAGCTGCTCGGGTAGAGAGTATTTGCCCAGAGAATGAAATTAGGATCATTAATAGTACTCCGTATATGATTTACATTTTTTGGGTTGATTAGATTTTCTCCAATTGTGTTCTTAGTTGTGTTCTAAAAAGAGCTAGACGTCTGGATCGACCATTGCTCGAAAAAAGTTACGCAAGAGTAATTTATAAAGAGGGCATAGTGTCTAGAAGATCATTTACACTGATATTTAGTACTTCCTCAGCCAAATTTAAATTACATATTTATTTTTTACAAAGTCAAGTTTCATTTATTTTGTTTCCCTATTTCCATTAGCCATTTGATAAAATAATATAATTATATCATTACTAGTTTTATAGATTTTTTGATGTAGTTTTTAAAAATGTAATTTTTATTTTTGAATTATACACTATTTTTCATATAAAATGATTTGAAAACAATTTAAATCAAATATCATAAATCAAAACAAACAATATAAATTGTAACAGCAAAGTAACTGATAAATTGGTTGTACTTTGTAGTTGAATGACAACTACTCCCTCTCTCCCAAAAAAAATGTCACAATTACTATTTCAGTTTTTCGATAATTTTAATTTGTTAACTCATTTTGGTTGATCATTTAATAAAATAAAATATTTTTGTCACATCTTATTTTGTAAAACTTTTGATGCACTTTTGACTCTACTCGCCGTTTAACTTAGAGAGCGACTTAGCATAATTAGCATCTTGAAAACTATCCAACGATAACTTTTAACTTAAGTTTTTGCTACTATTAAAAAAAATATTCAAAATGTAAACTCTAATTATATGTAGAAAAAAAAGGATGAACTTCGGTTCAGTTACAGTCACACCAACCTTAAAAATGACACCGGATTACACTGCTCAATTGAGGCCCCTACGCTGTGATCCAGTGTCAACGTAAGATTGGTTTGATAATAACCAAGCCTAACTTCTAAGTTTCTAATAAAATGCAATCTCGCTTGATTAATACCCAAAAAATAATTGCTCTTCTAAAAAAATTGGGTAATTTATTTGATAAAGAGTAGACTGATGGGTGATGTGTTGATGTCCATTAAAATTGATCAACTTCAAGATGGACATAATCAAAGCTTGAAGAACAATATGATGGGTCCTGCAAGGATTTCCTTAACAAAAAATTCATTGTATAATTATAATTAACCTGAAGGGGTTTATTATAATTAATGAGATAAGCCCTAAAATTAATGGGTTACAAAAATGAAATCCAACCTTTTGTGTGTGTGTTCTACATGATGACCTCAGCCTTTTCTAAGGCTTTCTTTCGTCCAAGTATCTTCACATTGTTTCCTGATAACAGTTTCATGGCCACTTCCATGTTTACATCCTTGGGGTTCATGCTCTGTCACCACACATTTACATTCTATAATTAGCTTGTTTACAAATTGAACATTGTATCATTTGTATGACAACTAGCAAACGTTTCCCCAATAAAAATGATTTAAGCCAAATAAGCAAGTCAAAAAGGCATTTTCCTGATCAAATAGCTGATGAACAGAATAAGACAATAAATGCTACTCGTATCAAACAGCGGCCATAACTTCATGAAAAACAGAAGAGGAAGTTAAATCTTCTAGGGAAAAAAGGAACAATCAGATGAAATTCCAAAACTGTTATCATTAAAAAAAAATTGCGTTGAAAAAATAGCATTCACTAGACAATGACAGGTTAGGTATTTTGATAGAGTCAAGTGCCATTGAAAAAAAGACTGGCAATATAATAGCATTAATACGCAAATAAAATGCATCGATACATAGCGAGAGACATGATTACTCCAGCACATGTGATGCTTTTATACACACAAATAATAGGCCATAAGCTCTCAAAGGATTCATGAGACATGTAAACACACACATACGAAGAATTAGAACCACAATATACCTTGGGTAATGAGGCAATTGTGCGCTTATGTCTGATTTTATATCCTTCTACTGAAACTCTCATGATAATGTCTCGTCCATCATCTGGATGCTTCCCCTGTACGTATGTCCCATTTTTATAAATCCAGCATTATTCAGATATGAATTAAAAGAGAGAAAGAAGTTAAAGGTTGTTGGATAATGTACCAAAGTAACTGGATAGCGCAGCATATCCAGGGCGTGTTCCAAGGTTACGGATGTGATATCCTTTACCTGAGCCAAAGAATATTGCAAACTCATTCAAAAGAGAAACTCAGAGATGTTTGAGAGTGTCAACATGAGGGCAAGTTGCATGGTTATACAGACAAAAAAAGTGGAATCAGTTAACGTTGGGCATACTTTCTACAGACTAAAACTCATTCTACAGATGATACCGGTTTGTTCCTTCATGGTATAATTGACATTAAGAGGGTGTGCACATATATTTTGTTTTGTTTTTTCAAGGGTAAAATATTTCCATGCACAGAAATATACTATCCATTTGTGTGCGTCTCAGCTCAATATATTCCACTCCATTGAAATTGAGATCTTGGTTTGGAGTAAAAGTGTCGATGGGCATTTATATTAATATGCAATAGCACGAGAAAACTGAGGATAATGACACAAAACTAGAGACTGTCATTCCATTATGGCAAACACACAAATACTCTTCGGGTTCACTGGCTGAATACAAGGCCAGGAATGAAGCCTCCTTTTTAAGGATAGTGTGAATGAAATGCTTAAAAACATTAAGACATGTGCAGTAAATATACTTGTTTTATTATGCTGGATGATGAGAACTATCATAACCAAACATGCCCAGCATGTCCTACTCGGAAATAAGGCCTTTACACCTATGAGTACATTTTCCATGAGATCCCCAGTTAGGGATAATTTTGGGAGATTCATAAGATGAAAAAAATAGAGATTGAAAAAAGTGCAAAAAAAGGACATCCGAAGATGAAATTTAGTATGAAAAGTGTGGTAAAAAAACTGACCGGCCAAAAAAGGCAAACATTACAATAGTGTAACCCAACTTCAAAAGGATACTACAGTAAATAGTAGATAAATAAACAATAACTACTTTTAGAGAGGCTAAATCCACACCCTTAATGGCTAAATCCTATTTCCTCACCCAAATTTGCTAAATCCACTCTCATGCGTTTAAACTTGATAATTTTCATTTAGGGTGACCCCAAGTGTTTTTATTCTAAGAATTACTTTGAAGAAAGTCTAAACTCCTGTTAACAAAAAAACTGATTTTACCATAAACTCCCTCCGTCCCAATTAAATCATACACTTCCCTTTTTTGGTTGTCCCAAAAAAATACACACTTCTCTACTTTCATGATAAAGTAAAGGATATGTGGTCCACATTCCTTCTGTCTTAGTGTCTTCTGAACAAAATTCAGCCACCCACTATTTACTTCTAAACAATTTTCTTAAAGTATGCGAAGTCAAAGTGTCTTAATTAATCAGGGAAGGAGGGAGTATTAAAAAACAAAGTTTCACATTGCACTTGGCTCTTTAAAACAGCCCTATAGAATGTTTCTTTCATGCAGGTTTGGCTTTTTAAAAAACTTTGTTGTGAGCATCATAATGCTAATAGATAAAAGCCAATAAGAAATATGGTGGCATTTCATAAAAATGTCAATGGGTAGTATTCTATGTCAAAATTAGTTTACTGCTCACATACTTGGGCCAGTGATGATCGCTTGGGTGTGTGTCCTGCCCTGTCTTCTCCAAGTTGAACGTAGTATCCATACGGACCATTCTTAACGAAAACCTATACACATGAAAAAATGCAACCCTTATAGTTGACTAAATCATATACAAGGGTTAAGTGATGATATAATGCACAGGGGAGAGGTGAGAACCTTTTCATTTGAAGATGGATGGACACCCAGCAATATCGGTTCATCTATACTTTTATTATCATCTGATGCAGTTTCATCTTCCTGCTCACCATACAATGTCTTTGCAATGTACCTGAATAGTTTAAGAGTTATTTTCCAATGCAAGTATACAACATAGTAACATTGTTGGTAATTGGTAACAACACTTGCCACAACCACAGTTGAGAAGAAAATGCTTCAATGAAGAATACAGTGACATAATTCGTCTAGTTCTACTCATGCAAGAGAAACTATCAATTCCAATAAAATAAAATAAAAAGACCAGCAACAAGAGGAGGCCCAAGTTCATCTATAATTGCTGATAGGTCACAAGGCGTAAGAGCAAAGCCTTGAAATGTTCAAATTTATTACATTATTAAAAAAAATCATTAATGAAGTATGAACAATATTATACTCCCTCCATCCAAAAAAAACACCTAATTGGGTTTGGCATGAAGTTTAAGAAAAGTAAAATTGAGTGGTTGGAAGTGACGCAGAGAAAAGAGAAAGTTTGTAAGCCACAAGAAGTTATCTAAAAAGGGAAAAAGGAGTCTTTTTTTGGGACCTCTAAAAAAGGACAGGAGAAGTCCTTTTGGGGCGGAGGGAATAGAAAAAAGAAGATAACATGTGCAGCCTTATTTTGGGAAACTCACTTGCACTTAGGGTGTTGATCACAGCCTATAAAATAGCCTGCACCAAACCTGCTGACTTTAAATGATAAAGTTCCTTCCTCACATCTAGGGCATGTCCTAGAATGGTGTGGAAGAGATGCAAATAAAAAGTCTCCATATGTTTTTTCCAACATCTTCTCCACGTGATGGATGTGCACTTTACCAGCATGTTCACAGTACTTGCTAAATCTAGACCAATAATCTCTCAACAGACCTTTCCATTCAGTCAACCCAGCAGACACATTATCAAGTTCGGTTTCCATATCAGCGGTAAAAGAATAATCTGCCACTTCAGAAAAATAATGTGAAAGAAATGCTGACACCATACGTCCCCGAAATTCAGGATATAGTATCCTGCTTTTTGCAGTCACATATTTCCTATCCATTAACACTTTGATTGTGGATGCATAAGAAGAAGGTCTTCCAATACCGAGTTCCTCCATCTTCTTGACTAAACTGCCCTCAGAGTAGCGTGGTGGATGCTGAGTATAATGTTGATTAATTTCTGTTTTGCTGTGAAACAGTGTGTCCCCCGACTTCAAATCACTTAGAACCTCGAATATTTTAGTCCGGATATCATCTCCATTTTCATCCGTACGTATTAAACTAGTGTCTTGGTCCCCATTTTCATCTTTACGTATTGAAATTGTTTCTTGGTCCTCATAAACAGCCTGGTAGCCTTGAAATTCTACTTTCGAGCATGTAGAACGAAAAACAATAGATTGATCAGATTTCCCAATATCAAGTACTATCTGATCTATGGTAGCAGGTTCCATTTGGCATGCCAATGCACGGGACCAGATAAGTGTGTATAACTTCAAGGAATCATCATCTATTACCCCAGACAGCATTGAAGGAAGCCTACAAATGTCAGTGGGTCTAACAGCTTCATGGGCCTCTTGAGCATTTTTAACCTTCCTAAAATACGTACGAGGATTTGTGGATGCAAAATTATGTCCATATCGTCCTCTAACAAAGGACTGAATGTCCTTTGCAGCCTCCTCTGAAATATGTAATCCATCAGTTCTGATATAAGTTATCAGTCCTGTTGCCTGACCATCAGACAGCTCAAAACCCTCATAGAGCTTTTGTGCTAGCCTCATCGTATATGTGGATGTGAAACCCAACCTGTTAGCAGCTTCTTGCTGGAGTGTTGAAGTTATATATGGAGGAGGCGGGTTTCTCTGCTTTTTAGATCTCTTAGAACTAAGAACTTCAAATACAGATGAAGCGATCTTCTGTTCTATTTCCGTTGCCTCTGAGTGAGAATGAATGGAATGCTGATTTAGCTTTTGAGAGTCGTAATGTGTCAGGTGTGATGAGAAATAGTTGTTAGCCGAGCCTGGGTTGTCCTTTTTACTAAAGGAAACTTGAACTGACCA